CCCCAATAACTGGAACTGCGTAGGAGGAAAATCATTCCCGAGTGTAGAAAAATTCAAATACCTCAGCTCGACAATAAAATCAATGAATGACCAACGGGCAGAAATAGGACAGGTATTGAAATCCCGAAAAATATCAAGAAATCTCAAATTAAGGATGTACAATGCTATGATAAAGCCAGTTACAATATATGGCTGTGAGACCTGAACACTAACCAGCACTCTAGAAAAAAGTGTTGAAAGATTTGAGAGAAAAATCCTCCGATCTGGGATCAGAGTAGTGAATAAATACATGGAGAATAAATACCAACAAAGAACTGCTTACAGAACTGGTCAATCAATATCCCATGATATGAAGGCACGAAAGTTAAGATGGGCGGGGCATGTATCTCGTAGAAATCCATCTGGAAGTCTCTACGTAACAACGAATGCTTCAATAGAAGGCAAAAGACAACGTAAGAGGCCATACAGCAGGTGGATAGATAGAATAAACAAAGATGCAATAGAACTGCGTGCAGTAAAATAGAAAGAAATAGTCCAAGACAGGCAAACATGGAGCAGGCTTGTTAAGGCGGCAAAGATCTACATGGTCTGTAATGGCAAAAAAAAATCATACAAAAAGCAACTAGAAGGCAGCCATGATCGTATGTAAAATGATTTATCAGTTTGTTTTTGGGGTACACAGGTCTATCTTTCAATTTCAATTAGCACTGGCAGTTGTTAATCGAGGCGTGTCCTGTAACGAGTTGTGTGGTAGGAAAGCCGGCAATACATTTTTTTTTCTTTTCAAGTATTCGCTTATCTATGGAATAAATGATTTCAAAGCAGGTGGCCTTTGTCTGTTAAGTTATATAGTTTTTGCAATTTAATTGTGCCTTGCGTGTTTATTTTATATGTTTCAGGTATGATCAGGATAATTTTTAATAGTTTAGGGCTTTATTTTGAATAACCTTCTTAATCTTATTATTATCGTGTCACACATTTTTTTACAACATGTACAGCTGCTCCTGAAACACCGGAGCTGGAGTCTGGTGAATGTAAGTCATCGAGTCATAATGTGCACATTAAGAAGAATCGTAAGATTCACTAGTTTGATTTGAACTACATTGGTTTAAATTTTATATATAGTTATATAGTTTTTGAACCCCTATCTTCCTTTCTCACACTGTCCTCGGGAATGGCCCAAGGTTCGAGCATTTACCTTCTCCTTTTTAATTCCTACATAAATGATCTTTCCAAATCCATCTACCACTGTTCACATCATTTATACGCTGATGACTCCCAAATCTATTTTTCCTTTCATCCTTCTGAGCTACTAGTCACGTTCGCCAATATTCAGGCAGACCTAGATAGGATCAGTGCCTGGGCAAGTCTGAATAATTTAAATCTAAACGCGATGAAAACTCAGGCCATTATTATAGGTTCCAGTTCTATTCTTAAATCCATTTTCTTCCTTACTCCTTTAGTCATCAAGGATCATCCTATCACATTCAGCTCCTCCGTTAAAAACCTAGGAATCACCATAGACGAAAAATTCTCCTGGAAACCCCCTATCGCCCTCATCTCTCGTAAGTCAATAGGTACCCTTAAGCTATTTCATCGCTCCCGCCACCTACTCCCACCACCCATCCGCAAGCTCCTTGTATCCTCTCTCATTTTCCCCCACTTAGACTACGGCTGTGTGGTGTACGGAGGCATCCCGATGGTACTCGAGGATAGATTGAAGCGACTCATGAATAAGTGCTTAAGATTTGTCTTCGGTCCATCGAGATGGTCTCATGTGTCCCACCTTTACGATGAGTTAAAGTGGCTCTTCCCTTCTTACCACAGACAATATTTCCTTGGATCTTTCCTATTCCAAACGATCAACACCTGACACCCTTCCTACATCTACAATCTCCTACAGTTTAAACCCGTGGTCCACACCTAGAAAACAAGATCACTTGTTTCCGACCTTTATATTCCTTCCCATAGAACTAAGACGTTTGAATATTCCTTCATTGCCCGATCCACTGCCTTCTGGAATTCCTTGCCTTCTGTAATCCGCCATGCCTCTTCCTTGTCCTCATTTAAATATCATCTTTACCGATTCCTTCTCACATCCCAAAATGAAGTTATACAATGAAATAATATTGCGAAAAAGATTTTGACTGAGATGAATGGTTCTTAAAATTGATAGTTTTAATTTTTAAAATCAACCCATGTTTATTTTATTTTGTTCTCTTTTCATTTAAATAATCTTTTTTTTTTAAATGGTGTTATTTTTACTTGTTTTAATTTAATTTTACTGAAGATACTATATATTCTTTAATATTGACTAATGTAATTTTTGGCCAGATGTAGTTTTTATTTTTTTGTTCATATCTGTTATTCATAAGGGACCTTGTCCCAGAATAAAGTTTACTTTCTATCTATCTATCTGTCTACATAAATTCCAGTAGAAGTTGGAATGATAAACTAGATATTATATACCTTGGACTGTTTTGAATTCGCTTTCTGATACACCTGAAAATGAAATAAGTCTAAAAAAAAACTAGTACATACTCCTTCCGGTAGGAAGGGCTAAGCTACCACGTTACAGTTTCTCCAGCAGAATCTGTTAGCGCAGCTATTACACAATCCAAATGGGAAAGTCAAACCGACATTTAAACAGTTCCGTTCGCATTGCAAAACACCGGTGTTCCATCAATCTCCCTCCCAACAATGGATCAATCAAATGTAAGTGATTTAGAAAGCGACAATAATTAGAAAAAGGTCTGATGATTCAAAAAAATAGATTTCGCTAAATGACAATGGAGAAAATGTGATTATAAAGTGAGCAATAGCACTTATTTTACTTATTTGTAGCCATCTAGATACTGCCGCTACGCACTAACCATATTGAATGTTAAAATTCATTTCTCTGAACCACCCATAAATATTAACTGAACCAGGTGGAATATATGATAAATTACTTCGCAGACCTGTATACATTAAATAATAATTTTACCCAACAAAAATAAATATTTTTACTTTTAGAAATCCTTCTATGTGCAGAAATTGGGCCAAGAAAGGCAGATAGTCCTGAAGAATGAAGCAACCTATTACAGTAAAAAAAAAGGTCGAGATTTATTCTCCATTTCCCCCACGGAACAAAAGTCAACCCTCCTTCCCCAAGCGCAAACGGTGTACCTTTTGTCTGAGGTACAACCCCGACACATCCGGTCTCTGTAGGTTTCAGTTCACTGTATAAAAATTGTTTAAACGTAGATTATTCAAGCCTACTTTAGAACACAAACATAAATAAATTAATTAATTTAATGATTTAAATCATTTAACTGAATAAAATATATCAATAGGTTTAAATCGGAAATTAATAGTTTTTATAATTCCTTATATGATAAAAGGGCGGTTACCCTTAGTGACCATATCTTTTTAATTAGGCAACTCCTGGGGAAGGCAATAACGCACCTTAAAGAAATACATATAATCTTTGTCAAATCACAAAAAGCATATAGTATAATGATTGCCTATTCATTCTCCAGTTTGCTGACGACCAGGTGCTCATTGCTTCAAAAGCTGAGCATTTAGGATGATGATAAAAATTCTCCAAGAGTACACAAGCTAGCGACTTGAAGTTAGCAAAGAATAAACTTTATATATGACCTTTAATAGCCAAGGCGAATGCCTACATTTAAACATTTGGTTGATGTAACGAGAAGCTCAATTTAAGCATTTAGGAAGCTGGATGAAAACCATAGGAGCAATAGACATTAACATTAAAAAGGACATATGCAACGTGAAGATAATCATCAGAATCTTGAATTCGGTACTGTGGAGTAAATCGTTGTTCTTAAAAAAAAAAAAAAAAAAAAAAAATTGCCTAACTACAAGTACATATTTTAAATAGAAATTAAAGTATATAGTGAGAATTTTAAGGTGCGTTAGACATTTCACAAACCATGGAGAAACATAAGTATTTCCTTAAAGATATAAATATCACTATAATAGTGCGGTTTTTTCTTGTTTTTGAAGTTTTTCATTTGCTTTTAGCGACATGGGAAATAAAAAAACGAGTGTGCGCTAATGTGGCTATTAGTGTAGTTAGATAACTGTGTGTTCTCATAGCTGTTTGGTGTATGGAGGGCTATCTGCTTGGCTAGAAATGAGACTGAAGAAACTCATAAACTCTTTCATAAGATACATCTTCGGGATTTCCAGGCGTTTGCATGTTTCATTATGGTACACCAGGTTGAAGTTGCTTTATCCTGCTTCCCGACGACAATTCCTCCTTGGTGTTTTTCTTTTCCAAGTCTTCAGAACCAAAAACCCTACCTACATCCTGGAACTCCTTACTCTACGTTCCACTATCCACTCTCAATACCAGGTCTCAACCCATAGATTTATATATTCTCTACCATAAAACTACTTCTTTCAGCAAATCCTTCGTCATTCGTACTACCTCCTTTTGAAACTCTCTTCCTATCTCCATAAGTCTATCCTCCTCCACACATTCCTTCAAACTACTCCAGTTGCACCAGGTACACCACATGCAAACTTCTGCTAATATGTAAAATTATTTGTATCTGTATACTGTTTAATTTCAATCTAGTGTACAATTGCAATAACAATCAGCAGTTAATTATTTTGTATTTTTTATTATTTTAAGCCAGACTAAGACCCATAAATTTGGAACTCCGTTATTATTCTTAGACTGTAGTCCCAGAATAAAAAGTCTGTAAAAAATCTGAACGCAGCTTAATATATCTGTCTATAGAAATATTTGTGCTTCTGGGTCTTCTCCTGATTCTTAGAGAATCCCTTCTGACATACTCTAAGAGGGATCCAGGAGAAATGTAAATCTGATGATTTTTTTTTTCTTTCCCTTTAGATCTTCTTCCGTTCCTATCATGAAAGTGACAATCAGCCAATTTGATTTTGCTGGTAGTAAAGGCATCAAAGGAAGGATAGGAAGGATATTACATTTTAATAAAATAAAATAAATAGATTTTTTCATGATTGTTGTAGCAATATTTTGTAAGGATCTAACAATTCAAATAATTCTATATAATTGAGAGTTATCGATAAAATAAATAGTTTATTATTTTTTAAAATTATTATTTTGTTAATTTATAATATTAATTTGATATTTGTAGCAGTTCAATAAATAGATATTTAACAGAAATAATAACCCTGCGATTACAAGTCATTATTTTATAATAGAATCGTGAAGACTTGAAGAGTCCTCAGTCTTGCTTTCTTGACATCTTCTTCACCAAGCCTTGGACAAATGGTCCTCTATATAAGAAGACAGATGCTACCGCTCCCACGATAGGACCCACCCAATAGACCAGGCCGAACTGGGTGGTGGTGTGGCCAGCACAGCCCAGCTTGAGACCTGTTGCAAGGGCTGGGTTGAAGTATCCGCCGGAGTAGTTGAAAGCTGAAAAAAAAAATTTAAATAGATATGAACAAAATATTTGATACTGCCAGAAATAAAACAATGGACCATCATTTAAGATTTAATTCAATATATGATTCTGGTTGAATTTAAATAGACGCTATTGTTATAAAAACATTAGAATCTCTATCTATAGATTTAGACTCTTGCCCATCCCTAATAATTCATATTCATATACAGCCAATATATATTAAATTGGAGCAGTAGTGGTTTATTTTTTTGCGGTCATATTTAATAAAATAATTGAAATTGTCATAGTTCTGATCACCGTGGAATGTCAGATTTTTTTTATTTCCTAAGGTATTATTTAAATAGATATAGGTATAGGTAATACTTCCTAAGGCATTGAAAAGATTATGAGGTGTATACCCTTAAGAACAGCAATTGAAAAAAATATCCAAAAACCAACAATCTTATACTATATCATGTTAATTCATTTAAAAATTCTCAAAACATAATAATAATAGTAATAAACATAGTTTATTAGTAACTGAAGCACCTTTAATCTTAAAACTCATTTTATTGTTTAAAAAAAAAATTCTTAAAATTTTTACGAAGTATAAGTTTGAGCTGATAATTGCAGAGCTTTTAGTAGTTACGTTGATAAATGGATTTATGAATTATTCTTTCGGTCGTTTAGAATTTGCTGCAATAAATCGTTGAGATAAGATGAAGAATGCCAAAAACATGAAATTTTAAAATAAATTATGTCACAATTTATTAAAGCTATCGGGAAAGCGAAAACGTTGTATTTGGTATATATTTTAAAATTATTACCGCAAAAAGTTTTCAAGATACTCAAACAAACTTTTACATGATTATGGGGATAGATATTGTCACAAAAAAAAAAAAATAAGGCGTGTGCTTTAGACCACGCGATAGAAGTGAAACTTCAACAAGGCGAGAATCATATTATGTAATATAAATTATAAATAATAGCCCATTACAGATAGGATGAAATGCTCAACGATTCCCTCGCTTACAGTACGTAGGTCATATTTTTAGTTTCTGAAATATTTTAATCCATATGTTCAATAAAACGTGTTATCATGTGGTTTCCGACATTATGTTTTCCTTTTCGCCTACCTAACGCGCTGTTGCGTTAAGATACAATTTTAAATAATAGCCCATTACAGAGAGGATGAAATACTGAACAATTCCATCGTTTACAGTATATAGGTCCGATTTTAATTTCTGAGATATTTTAATTAATATCTTTAATAAACCTCGTTGTCATTTGGTTGTCGACACTATTTTTCCCTTTTTCGTCACTCTAACAAGGCATAGAGTTAAGATACAGTTTTGAATTAAAGCTGGTTGCAAAGAGATTGAAATGGTGGACATTTCCCTCTCTAACAATATGCAGGTACGTTTTTTAATTTTTGAGATATTTTAAACGATACTCAAAAACACTTCAATTATTCGACTCTAGCCGACTTTATCCGAGCATTACACACGAAAATCTGACGGCTAATCCACTCTCCTAAAAAAAGTGAAAAACGTACCTAAAGAAGTTTTCACTTCAAAAAGAATCTTAAAATCTGAAGGTATGTGTTTCATTTTCATTTTTGGCTGGATAATTTTAAATAGACTGACCCCTTTTACGTTCCGTACTTATCATAAAAAATTTTTTTAAGTAAATCAATCAAATTTGTTTTTTCAATACAGACAGTCGTGAATAGAAGTGTAACTTTGAATTAGATTGTTATTCATTCGTATGTAGGTCATGTATGTTAGGTATATTTTGCAATATTGAATCAGCTTTATTGTAGCTATTTTATTTTGGTACTACATTAAGTTGAGTAAACGTGCATTCAGCCTGGAAGAGAACACTCAGGCTAAGTTTGTATAAGTTTGTTCTTCGAAAGGATAACAAGTTGTAGGCCTATTAGAGAAACTAAGGCGTGGAAATCATGCATGACAGACCATCCTTGCGGAACTGTAACTCATCAGATAACTCCGGCGTAACGGATATAATATTCAGTAACAACAAAAGATTCTCTGATATGGTATATTATAAACGATTGCTAGTTATAACAAAGGTAAATGGCTCTCTCATCATTCAAATACACCGAAACATGACCTTCGTTTGTTTTATAGCATTGGTTACACGGTCCGTTAAGCAGCGTGTAATGTCTTTTTTTTTCTTTTTTTTTTTTAACTTGATTAATCTAAGAACGAAAAACATTTCTTGACAATACATGAAATGAGATGTAGACCCTCACGTTAAGAGTTTAGAGCATGAGGAAAACAATCCTCAGGTGAAACTTACTCGACATTGCTCTAGTTCATTTATCTATGAGAATAGTTCTTGCTTGCAAGTTCTAGTTTTGTTCTGGTTTTTGTATCCTCAGTGGGGAGTATAGCCAACGCTGTGTTAATCGTTAAAAAATAGTTACAACTGTCCATTTCCGAATAAATACATATTTGGTTAGTATATTAACGTTTTAAGCCTTTTTTTTTTTAATGTTCAAGTCGGATGTAAGGAATTGTATGTAGTTAATTCAACTATATAGTCAATTCAAGTTTAATAATAATCTTGATAACCTCTTCATTGCCACAGGAGACAATACATTGAGTCTTGGAGATTGTAATGCTCAGCACTATAGTCCAGAAGAGAAGTAGCTGTGCTGAGGATCGGGCATACTCCCCCTTTTTTTTTTGGTCCTCCCCTTCCTCGCCGTTAAGGCTATACGGGGTTTTCCCGGGCCAGGGAGAGTGGGCGGGGATTTTATTAAAAGACTCCCTCGTCACCGAGGCGCGAACTCGTGACTATTTTTATATCATTTGATTGACATATCAGTGTGCCGGGCAACGGCGGTGCTGTGTACACGCGTTAGCCCATTCGGCCACCCCGCCCACATGCTCGCCTTACTTTTTTTTTTTTTTTTTGACCCCCTTCCTGGCATTATTTGCCAGACGGGGTTTCAACAGTGCGTTGACACGGTTGGAATACGTACCGCTACTGCTGCCAATACTCTTAATACTAATACTGTTTATTTTATTTTATTGTCACTGCGGTGCGGCCCGGTGCACGGGTGTTCGCCTTACTGATGGGACTGCACCTTAGTCTCCAGCTGGTTACGTATCTTGCCCTCTTGGGTAGTTTCCTCCAACAGTCCCTATTGAGAAGTGTATAGGTTCCACCTTTTGCCTCCATTACATACTCGCCTTACTAACGACTGCTTGATGAAGCATCATCGCCTCAATGCATAGCCTGGAGGGTGACCGTGGGTTCACATCCTGACCGAGTGTTTCCCATCCAAATATCGACATTAATTTTCGAACCATTTTTGAAGGAGTCACTTCAAAAGTATTATTTAAAAAAATTTGCTTTCGTTGGGTTCATAAGAAAATAATCACATGTGCATAAAACATATGACTTTTTGTCCTACAGTATCCTTTAATAATACCCCACTTATCCCTGATGAACAAATCCGATACCTTGGGCTCCACTTGGACAAACGGAATGGAATCCTTATATCAGACTGAAACGACAGGAAAGCGCACGATGTTAACTACTTCAGGACTAGACAAATGCTTTAAGCTTCCAATTAATTACAATAAACCCACATACATGCTAGAATAAGACCTATTTGGACAGCCAGTGACATCTCGTATCCAATCCTTACAATCCAAAATTCTCAGTGCTCCTTACTTTCTCACAAAGAAAATCGTCTATTATGACCTTAATATTTCTTATTTTTCCGAATTGGGTTAACCCATCCTTCCATGATAATCTTCAGAGCCATCCGAATCCTCTTGTTTCTAACCTTACTTCCTCTCCGATTTCTGATAACCTTCGAGGCGTCTCCTAATGTAAATATTATTAGACTGCAACCAGTGGGTAGTTTAGCAACAAGTCTTTTCATGACATATTTGTTGAAATTTGATGTATTTTTATATTAATATAGTTGTATATCCTGAATACAATTTTTAAAAAAATCATATACATATACACAATATCATTTTAGATGGGATAACATTTCTGAAAAGTGAAGCCTTTTTTACATATTTTTTTAATTAAGGCTATATTTTAGTACTTAATTTACACGGGAAAAAGAAAGTAGAGCTTGGAAATAAATTATTTAAGTAATTATAAAATAGAACAAAAATACAATGTTTTTTTTTCATTTTCGTTGGTGAGGACTTCTTATTGTCCCTTAAATGCAAAATACCTTCTTGAAGTTAATTATGTACTTTGCAGTACTTATTGTAAATTCATAAACTGTTTAATTTAACATGTAGTTCGATACAGCGGAGTTCTAGACTTATAATTTAATTTTTATATTACATTTACTTTAATTCTAACTCATGAAGATCAATATTTTTTGCGATTGATCTCTTTACAATCATAGAATTTTAAACCTTTAAATTCATGTCATACCGCAAAAATGACCCAGGCATTCAAAAACCCAAATATATAAATGTTTTTAATTTCAAGTAATTCACATTGCTAAATTGTTAACCTCTAATACATAAAAATATATTATTTGCCTTAATTTCATCATCAAGAACAATTTCATCTGAAAAAACTTACTATATATATTAATCTTGGAATATATTATTTATATCCATATAACAATATATGGAATATATTATTACTTTTAGAAAGTATAAGCTACATTTTTATATATTTTTTCAAAATGGATATAGATCAAAACAAAATATAAACTTGAAATTAAATAACACAATCTGAACATTAAATTATCTATATGCAATCTACCTTATATTCTTTGCAATTCAGAATTATAAATACGTTTTTTCGGTAAACTAGCACAGCATACGGCAATCATTAACAGAAGGATGGGAAATTAAAGAGTGGAATAAAAAAAAAGGATTTTGAACAGGACAAGAAAATTGATACGAATATCAATTTGTCGATTGGTAATTTATATATATCACTGAAATTAAAAAGTAATTAAAATAATAAAGTCACTGAAAAAGACAATTAATGCTGAACTGGTAAAGGCCTGAAGGTG